CAATTACCTCGGCATTGCCGAATGCCGACGCTAATTTCGAGGGCTGGGTAGACAAGTGCTATATATTGATTTTCATTCTGAATTAATCATTTCTCATCCCTAGAGTCTCTAGATGTGCATAAAACAAAAAAAGTTAATTTGTTTATTGAATCATCTAATTTATAGTCAGACTAATAAGGATGCACAAAAATGACATCATTCCATAAGGAATTGTTTGTTTACAATATTCCCTGGGAGACAGACATCTGGGTAGATTTATTGCATAAAAATCACATACAAAAACAGCATGCTGAATTGTGTAAAAAAATAACAAGAGTATAAAATTGGCAATTATAAGTTTACAAATCATTATTAAATGTATAATGGAATATCAAATATTAAGTATTACTTTAGAAACATTAAAAATAGATATATGACAGCGAAATTACAGACAAATGATCAAATTAAACAATTGAGTGTATACATAAATTGAATAGTTCATAAATTATATAGTAAAATAAAGTGGTTTTTAAACTCATTACATTATATAAGAATGTAACTTTTTTTATTACTAAACTTATTTCTTTTTGTCAAGGTTTAATAGTAGAAATCATCATTGAAATTCAATTATGCAAATATAATGAATGATGCTTAATATCTTAATTGCGGCTAATCAGATAATTAAACATATCTAATTTATTGTGAGCTTATTGATATTCTTGTCAAGTGCACATATTTTTTTTTATTTATAAACATTTGAAGAGCTCTTGCACTTGCTAACATACAAATTGTATTTGCTAATATGCTAATTACATATCAGCTAAAAGTGGTTTTGTCAGTCAAGTGATTTTATTTTTCACGGTAGTTTTGCAATAAGGAACATAGTACTCACACTCTGTAGTGTGATATTTTCATTGCTTGCGCATTCATTAAATGTTGCATGTTACCGTTGTGAGCTGCATGCTAACCACTTTGAGTTGCATGGATGTACCCATGTTATTGAGTACCACTGGATCTGGTATGACTTTAATACTCATAAAATAAATATTACCAATTGCATCATGTTACCATTTTTAAGTCATGAACTTCGAACCACTGCTTGCTACATGATACAATATTACTGTATGGTACCATAGCAAGCTGTGGCACACCACTGCAAATCTACATTGTACCATCTTAACGCTGGTATGGTGCCATTGCAAGATGTATGGTACTATCTTTTGATACCACTATTATGAGCTGCATTATGGTATTACTACTACTACTACAAGCTATGTGGTGCCACCATATTGTATGGTATTACTGTTGTCTAAATGGTATCCATGACCAGAATACCACTTCCTCATGGTACCACCTTGGTTATATGGTACCACTGTGGGCTACATGGTACCACCATGGTTGTATGGTACCCATGTGAGCTACATGGCACCACCATGGTTGTATGGTATCACTGTGAGGTGCATGGCACTGCCTCGGTTATATGGTACCACCTTGGTTGTATGATACCACCTTGAGATGTACTGTAACACAATTACTGCTTTTTTCATATATTAATCTAAACTAGATAATATCTCCATGGTGGTGCTTTAAACTGATAAACTGCAAGTATATTAATTGGTTGCTGTCATTAAAAGTTTGTTAGTTTTCATAACAATTAATGTCTGCATTTACATTACTATCATAACTTGGCTTCAGTGTCACTCGCTAACTGCCTTCATGTTGATGTCTGTGCAGTGACTTTACTGGTCATATTACAAAGATTTTTACCGGGCTGTGCTGTTCTTTCTCTAGGTGGTTCTGCACCAATGCGAGCAGTGAAGGATTCTTCAGGTATCTGGTTACATCTGAATATTTGTTAAAATTTTTTTAAATTATTATTTTTTTGTTTCTTTGGAATATAGGTTCTTTTATTTTGCTGCTGATTTTTTAGTTTTTTTTGATAGTCATGTTTTCAGTTTGTTTGATATCTTTTGAATTTCTTTATCTAAAGATTATGATTAATAGCAGATGGTGTTTGCCATGGTGATGTTGCGATGTTGCTAATCATTTAATGATAGAAAAGATAATGAAGGCAGATGATGATCAAATGATGATGAAGATATTGATTTTTTCACAAACAGAATGTTTGTAAAGTTAGGCCAAAACATAAGATATTTTTTGTGCTGTAAATGTGTTTTTTCTGTACTGTAAATGCTGTGAATGTCTCTTAAAAATGTCTTTCAAAAACAATTATTTTTACAAAGATTTATTACATATAACAAACTGAGTGCCACTTTGGTGAAGGTGTATGCCTTCCAATTCAGGATTTTAGGTTCTAATTCTTAAAATTCCACAATGTTTGTTTTTTTAATTTCCTGTACACATTATCAAGTTTTTTTATAAATCAATTTTAATATAAAAAGTTTATTTCATTTTATTCCAAATTGATTTTTTTTTTTTGTAAATCGTTCCATGTCGTGACTAACATATTTATTTTTATTCTCTATACCGACCATATTTTACATAGGTATGCTAAATCAGACATTACCGTCCAAACCATCCGTTCCGAATGGTACGTCCCGTGCCAGCCATAGACGACCACCGACCCCTGATTCAAAACGTCGATCCTTTGGTGGTGGTTACAGCTCTTCCAGCAGCGACAAACTAAAGAGGTGGAGCTCTGCCGACAGTGGAAGCTTCCCTGCAGGGTAAGGCATGAGTTGTATTTAAGCTTCTTTCCACACCATTAGGTTTTATGTGATAAATACCTTTGATTTGTCCATATATGGGTGTTATATTACATCTTCATACCCATATATGGTCAAATTTTAGATTTGTCTCTGAAAATTTGACAGTGTGGACACAGCAAATGCATGGCTATTTTTTTTATAGCATGTGGTGCTTCATTTTTTATGCAGATTTGGGGAACAACTTTCTGACTGCTGTCATTAAAATATTATGTGCCCCAAGTATGAATTATTTCTAAAACATCAAAATTGATTTTTATAGTAAAAAAAATTATAATTTATGAAAAATTTCATATCTATTTGTTATATTTATTATCTTTTGTTCACATTTATGGGCATTTTTTCTCATCTGATGTCAGAAAGTTGTTTACAATAACTTGGCATTGGTCAAACATTTTTTGAAGAATATTATAATGGAATGCAAAGCTTCTGTTCTCAACTATACCATGGAGGAAATATATTCCTCCATGTTTATGGTACACAACATGGATCTTACATCAATTGGCAGCACTCCCTCCATCAGCTTTATTATCACATATTGCATTTTGGTTGAAAATCTAAAGCCATATTAATAAGTATTTGAAGCAAGGTATTCTGGTGTCCATCATCCAATCTCAGAATTTTCAATCTTTTTTTTTTTTGTCAAATATTGAAAGATGGCTGACACAGAAAACTAAGGCTGTATTTTCAAACAACAGATATATCATAAGACAATCCAAGAACAAACGTCTGCTAACAATTTCTGTTCTCCATTATTCAATTTGTTGGAAATTGTATTACGCTGTTACACATCATGAATATGTGTTCTCCAAATATGCTGATACTTTCCAGATTCAGGTTCAAATATATTAATATTGCTTTGAAAGATCCAGTGGCATCTATTGAGAATCTAAAAAGGTTTAATACTAAATACTAGCTATTAAAATTTATGAAATCATTGGTATTATACATTTTCATTTCAATTTTACATTTTCTTCATCCTTCTCTTGATATTATTTACTTTACATGGTTACATATAGCCGCAGCATGTGTTTTTATGTTCTGGTAATATTTGTATTGTTTTGATTTTTGCATGTATGAGGCATGTCGTGGCAAAATGGTTAAGTTGTCGCACAGGCCAGTATTGAGTAAATGAGCTATAACATATGGGAGCTCAAAAAATGACCTAAAAAATCAATGTTTTTTTCAATATATAGATCAGAGTTTAATGTCTAATTAATTATGTCCCACAGTCTTAGTTCTGGAAGTGGTCAACAAATCATTTATTTAACGTTATTTTGGTAGTTAATTCTGTTAAACAATGTATTCACAAATAACTTTAGAAGGCAATTACTCAAAATAATGTTTATCTTGACTCTAGGAGTGGTGTACTTTCACTTCCTAATAACTAAGGCTTAAAATGTCCAATTTTCAATTAATGAACCCTCATTTTAGAGATTACATACTCAGGTATTTAAAAATACCAATAACTTGTATTTCAATTTTTGCTACAACTTAGCCATTTTGCCACAACATTCCTCATATAAATATTTATGGTGAATTTCTTATATTTCTATGTTATCACATGAATCTAGCTATCCCATGAATCATTATGTGCATACCCTGAGGAACATGGCTTCCTGTTAAAGTCATGTGATTTCTTGTCACCATGCACCATATCATGACACATTGCTATGTTTTTTGGTTTGATTTTTTTTCTTGGAAATCTTATTACTTTCTTTCAAATGAAATCACATGGAACCAACATATTCTAAATTGTGAAATGATTCATTGATTAGTTAAACATATTATATATGGACCATAATAACTCGAATTCAATTTTGGTTTTAATATCAACACCAAATTTGTAGTCCAAGTAGTCCAAGTACATTTGGCGGACATCTCAAAATCTCATTTACTATATGAAAGAAAAATCAATCACCAAAACAAATTCTTGAGTTTATATAAAAGACTTAACCATTATGATTTCTCATTTGTGTTATAAGTTTTGAAAGAAAAAAAATACTGTAAACCTTGAATAGAAGCCCAATGGTCTTATCTCAAGAAGAAGCCTATCTGGAATTGAAGCCCCCTCTTTAGTTTGCAAAATCAGCCCATGGGTTTCTTTTCAAAATACCATGGGCTTCTTTTCGAGATAGTACAGTACATACACTGTACATGAATTTCAAAGAAAGAAAATAAACATTTTAAAACATATCTGGTTTATACAGTTAAATTGGCCCATCCAAAGTTAGCAAAGAAAAAAGAAAGAAGCAACCCGAGGCTTTTTAAGGTTTTACGGTATATCATCTATTTAGCTATTCCACAATCATATTCAGTATTTGAACCTTTGCTTTGTACCTTTAAATAATAATTGAAAATCGGAACAAGAAAATAGTTTTCCTGCTAATTAGCCATATGTGATAACATTCCTCTATTCTGTGCTTTGATCATAGCTGGCATTAAAAAAAAATCATAGCAAAATTTTTGTTGGAAACTGAAATATTTTGATAGCAAATCATTGAAATCAACAATACAATGTTGAAATTTTTAGGGTTTTTTTTCATAATTTTGTCCCAGACAGTATACTTATAATTCAAAATTCAAAACCATCATTTCCATAATTATACAGAGAAGTTTTTAATCGTAATGACAATCATCTTAAATGTTGTAGTGAGTACAGACAACAAAAATTCTCCATTTATTCTTGTTAAATCATGAATCCTTGAAAATATTACAACAAAAAATAACCAATACACTTCATGTTTTTAGAATTGTAAAGATAAAAGATAAACTAATTATGAAATCTTTTTTAAACAGTCCCATTGTCAATTTTGGGTTCTGGAAGAGTACTATAAGGTATGGTCTAAATTTAACTGCTGGGGCTTAAGGATTTTTATTATATTTTTCTGCACATTCCAATATTTATTTTTTTGGGATTTTTTTGCAATAATTCTGGAAACAATTTCTGGTCCCAATGCAAGTCTAAATTTAAACAAATTTGCAATGTAAATTTATACATAGGTTTTTATCTAGGGATTGTGAGACAATGTTAACTAAATTTCGCATTGCATACTGCTGATAAAAATTATTCATATGCCAGTGCACATTTTTTTTTTTTTTAATACAATATCTATACTTTGCATGAGGACAGATTCAATTAAAACAACACAATCATTATCTTCATCATCATAGCCTTTATCATAATTGTCAACAGCAAGATTTTAAATATTATTATTCTAAACATTATTATCTTATTCTTAATCAACAATTTAACATATTATCAATGAAGGGTATCTTCATTTTTTTTTTAAATTTGTATCATCACCGTCCATCAAGGGTTGATGCATGTACTGTAATTATTACTAACAAGAATCATTATATATAATTAGAAACAATTTTTTAGTAGCTTAGGGTGTTTGCTTACTTGATGTGGCCGTAAACTGCATGTTCCATAATTCTGCATGTTTCATATTACTCCCTATCACGCTTAGATCATTGTTGTTTGAAATCTGCACTTGTGCTGTTTGTTTCATAAGGTTTTATTATTGGTGGACATAAGCCATGTGATTTGAGCATTTGGTTCTTGATTTTTTAAGTTTACGCAAATAGAAAATGATTTTAGCATTTGTGATTGGACAAATGATAAAGGTGACCTTAGTTTGGGTGTGGTTTGCTGCTTGTTGCTGGCTGATGCTACGATGCACATGCACCGATTCTGCTGCTACTATGCGTTACGGTGGCCAACAACAAAATTAAGAAACAGTGACTGGTTTGTTTCGTAGATGTACATATCAATGACATTCAACAATAAACTATCAACTTAGTTTTCTTGACAACAATTGTTAAAATCCTATTATAGTACTACTCATTTTCATGAGTATCATTATCAGTCAGCATCATCAACCTAATATCATTGGCATCGTCTCTTCCAACATCTTCATTCATATTAATCTTTTTTTTTCATTATAAATATTAAGATCATTGACATGAATATCCAGCAACATCACCATTATCATCATCATCATTATCATCATCATCATCATCACTGTAGGACTGTTTAATCGATAATGAACCAAACAGAATTGATGTAAACTTACTGCGAGCTTAAAATTCTGAAGCATTGCATTCAGGGCTAATGAATGATTTAAATAAAAGGCAGGAAGGGTTCAAGCTTATATGGTAGCTACACAAAATAGCAGTCAGTAGAACAGGAGGTTAAAGTTAGCAAAAAGTGATTGGAAAGTCTGCATGGATTTTGGGTTTGAAATTTAGACAAATTTAATGTGAAGTAACAATGTTTTATTAGTAGTTCATCTGAAATGAAGAATATGGATGTACAATTGACACCGACCTACACTCTTCAAGCCACCACCAGTGACGAACGGAAAAGAAAGTACCGGTACAAAAAACACTCACACGAAACCTATATGGCTAAAGCGAAGTCGATGGATGCCAGTGTATTTCCCAGTAGGACACAACAGGGCAAGGAGAGAAATGCTAGGCCTGCCAGTATTTCATACCAAGTAAACCTTGACCAATCTAAGCAGTGGAAATCTGAGGCACGAGTGGATCAGCCTGTAAGCACCTATCGAAAAATGCAGCATCATAGAACCGAGGCACATAAACTTAATGTCGGCTTAGAGACCATGGAAAGAAGCAAGTCAGAAAATCAGGTATGTGAAGGAAGACCAAGCGCCGTGCGTCCAAGCTTCTCTGACGAGTTGCCTGGTCTGCCGGGAAACAATATTAAGAAATGGACATCTCAATTGCGCGTGTATTCACTGAAAGAACACACACCAAAAGAAGCAAGCCGAAGACGTGAAAGCCTTAATGAACCGCCACAACCTTCAAATATAAGAAAATCAAAATCTGAAATGCAAATTAGCACGACTAAGAAAGATTTGAGTACAGCGATTAGGTTTAATGACACACCTCCACCTGTTGATGTTAAAAATAAGGTACAACATTGGAATTCTGAAATTAATGTGAACCGAGAGAAACTGAAGGAAAATGTTGTTCAAAGGTATTTAAACTGTTTGCCTATGAAGAACCCCGAACCACCAAAATCAAATGTTTTTATTCCAAATCAAAAGAAATTGAGTAGAACCTGGTCAACAGAGACCTACACAAAGCAGTCACAACCTCGTACATACTCCAAAGTGAGCAACATGAAAAAAGCTCGATCAAGCATAGATCTCTCATCACTAAGCAAGGAAAAGAAGGTCCAACTCATCCTACCCTCAAAAGAAAACTTAAGTAGAAGTAGGAGGATTAGAGGAGAAACAGTGACTTTAAAATCCAATAAGTGGAGAACTGGAGGAACGTTTAACACCCACAAGAAATGGTAAGGACTTGCAAGATGGAAGAAAAAAAAACAGCTTTTGTTTGAAAGAGTATCCTTTAAATGTAAGCCAGGCAGCGCCGTATTTAGGGGCTTGGAGAAGCATGCCTCAACCACACAGAGCTTTTCAGACACACCTGACCAGGCTGGCTATGCTCCCTCTGGGTGTCATAGGTAACCTTCCTTCCTTTACGAATTTATAATTATGGAACTGCTCACCATATTTGGAATGCATTATATGTATTCAGCTTCGGTTTACAGCAAAGGGCAAAGAAATTTGGAACTATCACTTTATATTCTTTTGGCCAGGTATTTAATTTAAATAAATTGTTGGTAGAAAATAAAATTTGGACCTGTATTAGTCAGTAGCATGAAATAAAGATGAAATAAGTACCTTTTTTAATAAACTAACAAAATTTATTGAAACACAAGCTTTTGCTGGCTTGAGCTAGCGTAATCAGGTGAAACCTGTTTTTGAATGGACAATACTTAGTAGTGCATATCACTTATTGCTTTTTAAAAAAAATAGTGCTCTGTTATTTGTCTGTGTGTGTGTATATTATAAAAATTGTGCAATTATTGGCATTGAAATCAGACAAAAAGCTTACATTTTGTGATTACTCTCAGGAAACTGACCTGGGAAAATAAAACCTACCAACAGAGGGCAGTATTTAGCTTTGCAGAGTTAAGTGTTGAAGCAGATTTTTGAATTTTCCGGTTGAGTGCTTGAATTGAAAGCAATAAAAGTTAAATAACCTTCATCGTGATTGTTGTAGGTGTGGTGTTGTGTTAATATTAGACTAGTCACTGTTTCTGACTACTGTGTTGTTGGTTGTCCAGGCTTTTCGCATTCGCTCTGTGATTGCAGAGCTTAGGTACCTTTTATGTGCACATTTTTCTTCTGAATATTAAGGAATTCAGTTGTGTTAAAAGATGCCGCGCACTGCAGCTTCTTCTCGACCAAATTCTGCTCGTCCGTCGTCTGCTTCAAAAGCGCGAGCTGCAAAATCTCGCTTTCCAAAAAGGTTAGTTAAACATTTTAAAACTAATGTTTTATTCTTTGGCTTGTTAAATAGGAGTATTTTTATGTTTTTTATTACGAATTATTATTATTGTTTTTTAAGTATTTAACGAGCCTTGCTTTGCAGATGGTTTTGTAATACTATGTTGTTTGGCAGTCTGCCAAACTGTTGGTTAATCACTCCTCACAAACTGGTTGTCTGATCTCACACATCGAAACAATGCTTATTTAATTGGGTGATACAAATTTCAAATTTGCACCAATATATTTGAATCTAGATATGAATTCAAATCTAAGGCAACTCCTAAATTCCTTGTTTAGTCCATCGTTCACCAAATCATACATCCTCAAAATATCCAATTGAAGTCTAATGAGCCAACACAAACTTCCTTTAAATGAAGAATTTCTTCTGTAGATAAATTGTTGACTTTCAAATTTCTTACAATAATAATGAATACCACAATTCCTTTAGGGTATAATGGATTCAAAATCTAAGCACAACGATATGGCGATATTTCTGACACCTAAAGGAATACACTTACAATTATGAAACATTTTAATCTTAATCCTGAGCTTAATTTTACAGCCATGTATGCAATTTCAGATTTTTGTTTGTGTTTAGAATTAAGATATTTGTTTGATCACACTTTATTCTGATAAAGTAGAGCATCGTTCAACTTACAAAAAAAAAAATCTGATCAAATAATTTGTGTAAATTGCCTATATATATGCATGGTGATGTCATATCAAAACCAAATGTAGACAAATCACTGGTATTTATTACATAAGCATTTTAGTATGTACATAGTTTAATAGACATCTGTGAATGCATATTTCTAATTTTCAAGTACCAAGTCTAAATTTATAGACATAAACATACTGTAGTTTACTGCATAGTGTTTAACCAACAGTCTGGCCGCATATGCGGGGATAATTAAGGCCCAGTAATTGCTGGGAGGTTTATTTAACTGGAGGATTTTTTTTCCAGTTCGGCTAAGAAGAGTTCTTCGTTGACAAATCTAACCGGACGTCGTTCGTCCGCATCAGGGTGAGTATAGCATAAAAGTTGGTCCTAAACCAACTAAATAAAACTAACCATGTTCATTTTTTTTATTAATGTAATTTTTTTCTTGTAATTAATTTTCATGATTGACATTTCTTTACAGCATTAACAATTACAATTTTTTTGTGTTCAGTATTTTTGGTTTTTTTTTACAGTATTACTCTACATTGTCTAGTCAAAAAAGTATGTTACAGCAGCACTAACAACTCAATTTTTTACATGAATTTTTTTGTTTTTAATTTGTATATTATTTTTTATGTTTTGTCAGTCTTTTCAAGTGATATGTATTATCCTTAGTATCTAGAATATGTATTTATAATAATAATTGTTAAATCTAATTATTAAAATAAGCACCATAGACATTTCAGGGTTTTGTAAATATATGGCATGGGAGAGAGAGGGTTACTGGTTAGAACCTATTATATTCAATAAATAAATTGCAAATTTGGACAGTATAGGAGAGCAGGGAAAGGCCCCATGGACCTCAAATACAAGGGTTTTCTGATCCTAGGTTACACCCAATCCCTGGGGTCCACCCAATCATCCCATAGTCCACCCAATCCCAGGGTCTTCCCATTTCCAGGGTCCATCCAATTTCAATGTCCTAATTCCAAGGTCTTCCCAACTCCACAGTCGATTGTTCAAATCTTGTGAATGTTGTGGACTTTCTTCTTACACCGGTAGAGCATTTAATTGCAGTTAAAATACTTTTTTTTTTAAACCCATATGAAATGTTCAAACACTTCTTTTTCTCTTTTATAATTGAATATGTACTACAATTGAATGGTTCTGTTTGTTAAAGCTATTTAAGTTACTTAATTGAATTTACATCAATTTATATTGGCGCATAACTTATTACAATCAATTTAAGATAGTTAAAATGATAATCATAAAAGATCTGCTCAAGCAAGTGACTTCAAATGGAATGAATGTTGTTGTGAATGACAACAGCGAGTTCACCGAAGTTACGGACGTGTGATAAATGATAAAACCTGTGCTTAGATCCATCAAACAATCGTTTACTGTATTGATGAATAGTTACGGTATCTCCATGTTGGTGAGTTGTCTTTGTTTTCGGTGAAATGTATACCTTTTTTGAAATAGTTGCCGTGTGACAGCTTGGTGAAAGACATTGTATTTGCTATAGGCAAGAAAGAATCAATTGATCACCAAAAATATGATTGTTTGGTAGATAAATGGATATTCAGGAAATTAATTGGCATGAAATTATCCCATTTTTACCCAGTTAGTTCAAATAAAGGATTTATCTGACCTGTTTGTTATCCTAATGAAGAGATTAGGAGCTCCTAAAATAATAAGAATTATTGCAATACATTTATATCCTCAATTTGGAACAATCTGGCAGTATTTTTATACATTGAATTTACACCTAATTGTTTGATATAGATAAAATGGATTCAATATTTAAAACAAACACAAGCACAGTAATGTGTTCATCTCTTTATTATTATTCATTTAACAATATTTCAGCTTTCATTCAGTGGCAAAGCTTACTCAAAAAGGCCATCAGTACATACAAATATAAATATGTACGTAAATATAAATACTACAAGAAAAATATAAATTCTCTATAAGTTCAGATTTAACTATCAATGAATACAGAATAAAAAATAGGCTCCCGGTGGAAGTGTGTATATACTGTCTATCACTGTACATTACTGTATCTCGAAAAATACTACCACGTTCTATAGGACGTCCTTCAAAATAGCATAAAAAGCATTCGTATCGAAGTGCTTGTTTGAGTTTCAAACGCAAGTTTGTTGAGTATCGAACTCCATTTATTTTCAATTAGGGCCCCCCCCCCCTTCGTGGTAGCAGTACCTATCATGCACCTCAACCGGATTTACTAGCTCTTACATAGTTAACTGCCAGCAAGGGCAATAGACGCAAAAAAGGACTTAAGACACCGTTTTGTATATATACTTGTTCATATTGAATAACCATGTGTAGGTATGTGTGAAACATACTGTATTATGTAGTGTGTGTGGTTTTCTTACACGATGTGTTAGGTAGCTCATGATGGCTGAAGCAATTAATTGCTTCCTAGAGTTTGTGATATACAAATTATTTGAAGAAGTTTGGCTACCGGATTATGAGGCAGGAAGAAGAGAGTATAGGAAATAGTGAGGGACATTACTATGGAAAATTACAATAGTATCAACAAATATATAGTTTATAGTTATTAGTAGTTTCCATCATCAAAGAAGTTAACATAATTCTTCAAAATGTACAAACAGTAGTTACAAATTACGTAATGAATTACAGTAATTATATAATATTCAGTAGCATCCCTATTAAAGGGATGCATTCAAAGCTAAAAAAAGTGTGGTATTAATAGGGTGTCTCCTTAATAGGGGTTGGGCGTAGATATACGTTCCCTCATTTAGTGTCTCCTTTATAGGGGTGTTCCAGAGGAGAGGTTCTGCTGTAATTTAGCACAGTGCCTCCTTTCACTTTAGGCCAAATGTTAAAGCAGAAACATTTTTTAAATCATCAAATTGTATAATCTTAAATAATTAATAGAAAGCATACAAATACTGTAAGGTAAGTAATATAAAGTCTTGGTAATTGAATTAACCTTTAGATTGATAGCCAATAAAAAGGTCTATACCAAGAACGTGGGAACGGTACAGTATTTGTTTGTCTGGTCTGGAAGGAAAGTAGTACTGATTTCCAATAGAATGCCAATAATCTCTAAAATATACAAAGTAAACAAATTAAATATCAACACTATTCTCCACATCTAAAGCATTGTTGTCACCCCTGCAAAATGGCTGCCGGCAACCTTCCCATTATAAACAATGGTTGAATATAAATATTTATAACAATGTGCGAGACAGCTCCACGTTTATGTACAGTACTGTGTAATATACACAAATATCATTCACTGCATCAGTAATGCCGGTATATGGTTTGGCTATATGTGTGATTTTGTTTTGTCAATGCGTGGATTAGTACAACTTCTTTTTATTTTGGCTAGTTGAAGCTTTTAGCTGTTCGTTGGCCAGATGTGGTAGACTGTACCGAATGCTAGAATTCTCAGCACACATCTGCTGGTATCAGCATACTCATTCTATTGTTTTTACAGATATTGTTTCCAGTCTGAATTAAATGGCCCATGAATGAAACTCACTGCATGTCATTAGGGATAACCTACTTAAATATTATGTTCACTTTAATTGCATGTAAAATATTTATATCAGATGTATAGCTTAGTGGTTTTAAGATGATTGCCTTCTAATCCCAGGGTCCTGTGTTCAATTCCTGTAACAGCAGGACATTTTCTCATGACCTGAAGTCTATAAAGGGACTTGATTACAGTTATAAATGCATTTTATCCTGTAATTAGGAAGTTACTTGCTGTTTGATGCAAATGAAAAAAAAAAAAAAATAATATATAAATCTCTACGTCCTTAATGATATATGTTTTTTGATAACTTCATATGAGACAGATTGAAAACAGTTACATATTGATCTATAATATTAATTTTCCGCCAGCAGAATGTAATTTTTAATGACTTTAAGGTCATATTTGTAATTCAATTCCATTAAAGTACATTAATAAAAATGTTTGCTATTAATAGCACATTTCATATCATAGAAGTACTTACGCATTATGGTTCTTGTCAGTAGAAACTATAATAAATAATTTTACAGAATTTTCAAACTCTTCCACTTCCTTTAAATTATTCCTAGTCCTACATGAATTATAAGCATAAAAATATAATTTCATAAGACAAATATTTGCATCCTTCCAACTACCAATTTGTACCCTTAACAAGCCCGTATCCAGTGGGGGGGGGGGATTTATGGTTCAGGAGAACCCCCTTTTCTAGCAAACCCCCCTTTTTTTTTGGCAAACCCTCCTCCAAAGTCCTCCAACCCAACTAATGCACTGCAGACCCACCCAGACACAAACATTTTCAAACATATCTGCTTTTATAGCATTATTTAGACCCATAAAGCACAAAAATCCTCTTGCTTTGGGGGTTTCGGCGACCCCACCGGGGCTTCGACCGTGCACCCCACGCCCAGAAACCACCCCTTGGAAGAACCTGGCTACGGGTCTGCTTAAAGTCAGGCTCCGGAGGGAAAAAAAGTGTTGATGTGTTGTACATCTGATTTTTCTAAGACACAAAAAGCACGAAAAACTCAGGAACAGTTAATGAGTTACAGCTTTTTTAATATTTAAACTGAGGGAAAAGGGACATAACCACCATTTTTCCACCTTTTTACCCAAGTTTTTAAATATTCAAAAATCTGCACCTCATTAATCATTCAAAAGTTTTTTTGTCGTAAATGCTTTTCTAAGAAAAATATGTTGTACAAGATATAAAATTTTTTTTTCTCCTGAGCCCGACGTGAAGAGGAACAAATGTATGTAAAGTGTTGTGCTTAGAAGAGACAAACAAATGACCAATTTGAGATTTGAACCCCTTTCCCAATTTACAGTTGAGAGCATGAATGGCATCTGTTGCCCCAGCCTCTCCCACGTTCACATTGAAATTGTATATAGTAAATAGTCAATTTTTAATCATTTGTACAACATTATTTTTCATTTTTAATGATCAATATTTCCTCAAGCCTTTAGAAATAATGATTTATATTCTGGTCATATCCTCTCTGATATGCTTCACTGATTTCCGTTAATATATGCAGAATTGTGAGGTTCCACTTCCATTAATTGAAATCATACCCTATGTTAGCAGATTAAAAAATAGTTTCATAACAAAATTTTCAATTACATAATAATTAAAGTATTTTTATTTCATGTATTGTTGATAAGGTGTTATAAAAACTATTTTATTGCAATGTTCAACATTTAATAAGAATTTAGAATTAAAGGTGAATTATAAATACAGTACCTACATTACTTTCCATCTGATAACCCTTTGGATTTTCGTTTCTTATTCATTTTCCATTCTGATGCATATCGATAAATTATGCAGGTCTGTCATAAGTTAAGAAATATGTCCCTAGACCTTTTAAGGGGTTTATGAATGACACAGTAAGTGCCTTTTAAAGGCCTAATATGTAGGTGTTGATCTTACAGTGAGATTTATACATAAGTATATATTCTTACCATTATCTATCCTTTCCATAACATTGATGACTAAATACTGGTCATTTCTACTAAATGATCATGTAATAGTCATTTCTATTAAATGATCATGTAATAGTTATTTCTATTAAATGATCATGGCAAAAAGTCTACAAAACCTACTAGGAACGAAGAATGCAACTGTGTCATTTTGAGGGCGTATTTTAGGTGTTGTCCTTGAGGCCTTGATCTTCGGTCTGCAATCACGCCATTACGCAATAGTTAAAAATTTATAATGCTGCAATAACAGTTTACTACATATTTTGGTGCCTGGATTTAAATGAGCAATGTAAAAAAACAATTAGGGGAAAAAATGAATCCATAAATTGAGTTAAAAAGCTTTCCTGTAGAATAAACCATTCTAATTTTTGTGTGTGTTTCAACTCAGATTTTAGTTCTCTGGAAGATTATTTTTATTAATTATTTCAAGCGATAAATCAAAAGTGAGCAGTGGGAGGTGTATCCACTTCACAGGAGGGCATTTTATTGGATTAGAATAGCGAATATAATAAGTACTGCTAATTAAATCTCCCCGATAATGAAGTGGTTGAACCCAATCTAGCAGGTCAGTATCTATAAACATTTTAGGAAGTCCCAACCCAAAGGATGCAAGTGAATTGTTGCGAGTGAATCGTTGCGACTGCTTGCAGGGTGGCTTCACAATTTCGGAGACTTGACAACTTCATCAAATTCCAACGTTGGCACTCTATCTTAAGATGTATGGTAGAAAGAGGTAATTTAGTTTTGCTTTAATGTTTTTTGATAAAGTAATGAAATTAATATTGAAACTTTTAAGTCAAGTGTAAGCAGATTTTTTTTAGTAAGAATTACTGTAGCCTAAATATTTGAACATCATGCCTGTGAGGTGCAGAAGTAGGAAATAACGATGTCACAACAGGATGCGCTACATGAGCCCTCCTATTTACATATTGGGTTTTCCCTAATCTTACAGTTAAGAAATATATAGTTTTTAATTCTATACCAATTATAAATTAACTACGATTTACTTTTAGATCAAGTTTCCGAAAGCAGTGGTTGTAAATAATAACAAAATTGAATTTAAGCTAAATCAATTCCATTGAATATTTAAATTTATAATTGGTGTTTAAGTTATTATTAAATTTTAAATAAGAATTTTTAAGGAGGAGCAGTTTTATGAATTAATATATTAACAATGTTTAGTAATTTTTTTTTTATCTAATTAATTTATTTTTATGTTTTAAACTAGGCTTTCAAAAGTGTTGTTCATGGTAGCTGCTTAGAAATGGAATTTGATTTTTTGCTAAACACGTTTCATTTTTTTCTTGATTGTGCCTGTTATACTCTGTTTTTGTTTTTGTATCTTGGTAAATTAAATATAATCAACTGATAATGTAACTTATATTGTCATTTGGTTTACACTGTTTTATAGATGTAAAAAATGATTCTTTCTCAACTTCTTATACACACTTTTAAAAATCATTGAAACAATATAATTTAACACTATTTAATTACTCTCTTCTAGACAAAATATTGAATCAAAATTTAACAGATATTCTTTTTGCCATTTCCTTTTCAATTTTGTTTAAAATTAAAGTTTAAGTAATGTAGTTTTTGATACAATAGTTCTATATACACTATATATATACTGTATGTACATATTATTTTTCTTTTTTCTAACTCATTAGTTTTAAGTTCAATTTCTTTTTTCATTTTGCCTTTCTTTTATCATTTTTACTTGTGATCCACTTGTGATACCAGTGCTACATCACTGAAAGTGTAATCACACTAAAGACAGAAATAAATAAATAAATTCTAGTAAAAATCTGTAAACATGTTTTTCTTATTTTGTTTGTTGCTGCTGTCATGTCGGAAACAGCATTTCGAGAATTTTTGAGTTGGGATGTCCGCATTTTTAATCATCGATACTATTTTGTCGTATTTTTCTTGTGATTTGTGTGAAATCATGTTTAAATATCACTTGAACAAAGTACATTTAATAGTCATCAATTACATCAGAATTTGTTATTCTTATCATTGTCATCAACTCCTCATCATTAGTTTAATCATCATAATATTGTCTCATTATTATTACTACTGTACAGCAGGACAGTATCATCATATAATTCCCTCAACATTATTATTGTTGTTATCATAATGATCATCTTTATCTTTGGATGTGTATTTAGGTATATAATGTAACTTGCATCATCATCATCATCATTATCATCATCGTATTCAACATCATCTTTAATTAAATCATCAATACTACGATCATTGTTGTCTTTAGCAACATCATAGTCATCATCAATATCATCTTAATCATTATCATCATCAGTTTTACAATTCATTCCCATTATCATCATCTGTAAATATATCATTAAAATTTGTCTAATTTACCATTATAATTAATTTGTCATAATAATTATTATCATCCAAGTAATTAAAAATGTATTATTAAGTTTTTCATTTACCGTTATTAATTATGTTTATATAAATTTTGTGTTATTGAGAGTGTTTATTGATGATATTTACCTATTTTCTTGTTTATTATTTGAAGAAATTGTATTTAAATAATGGTTAAATTGTTTATGCTGTATAAGCGACATTATTTTGATTGCCAATACCAAATATTGTGATCTAAAACCACTAATTTGGGCCATCCTAAATAATAGAAATTCCCCCCATGAATCCAACCTGGGATTTTATTCCGGGACCCTGACCATGGTGTAGACAACCCCTTGGTTCAGACCTAACTGTCAGACTTGCTAGACCTACTGTTGTCAGATTTTTTGGAACCACCAATTGTGATACCTAAACTATTTTTTTCAGTGTATTTCTGATCATAGGAGCTTGCGCTATGTTTGTATTTTAAAAAATGTAACAAAACTAAATAATTTAAATTTTCCTTTCACAGACCTAACAAAGATGCTGAATTTAATGCTGGTGAGTATTTTATGGGTTTTTTTAATGAATTTTTGTGAAATTAATAATAATAAATATAAACTTTACCAATGGCTCTTAGCTGGAACTAGCCTAACTGAGGCACATCAATGTTTTAAATTCAACCCAAAGCATATTTTTACATAAACTGTATATGTGAAGAAACCTTGCAAATATACAGGTAAAATACTTTTAATCAGGCAAGAATACACAATTCACTATACCGTGCACAAATTATGATAATAGGCGGTTTATCACATTTGTGGGCATTTGCCAAATGTCTGCATATTTGTTTACATCATGTTGCCACAACCTGTGGTTTTCAGGTCATGCAGATATAATATTTCTATAGTCCGCTAAGCCTAATTCTAATCTGGATGCTATTTTGAAAAACATTTAATGGGATGTCATCAGCTTCAGCCATTCTAATTATACCCTGGGATTAGGAAAAAAATATAATTTCATTTTCTTTAAAAACCATTATAATCGTCTGTTGGCGAGTCACGAAACAAGGTTTATTGAAGTCTTGCCTGATTCTGTTCTCGTAACATACGATCAATTAACAATCTGGAAACAAATCTTGATTTTACTAAGTTACAATAGACATCCTCATTCCCTTATCATCAAACATCAGTATGTCTGCATTCATTAAACTCCAACTTTTGTCATCTTTTTTTACAAATGACACCTCGTTTGTTCTGTCACTTGTTTTTCTGTGACTGATCTTTGTTTAATAGAGAGCTTTCGATTTGCAACGATGTAGAACGTAATGACGTAATTTTCATTTAATTGCGCATGTCTGAATGCTGTTAGGTCCCTTATATCTCCCGTGGCTATGGGGTTGGATCTCAGGAGGCTGTCATGACAAGGTCCATTTGTCATCTGTGCTATTGTGTACTATATTTTGTTCTAGTATGTTATGTTAACCATAGCCTTTTCAAAATTTGTAGTATTAATTAAACATTGTACAATTCTAAAATGATGTTTTCATACAATTTATTTCTACTGCTACCATTACAGCTGTTGCTATCACTGCTGCTGTTAAAATAGTATTATTGTTGCTGTTTGTTGTTTTTGTCATTTTGCTTTTATTTTTATAATAGCTATGTCTTTATGATTTATATAAATCATATATTCATTTTTAATGATTTTTTTTTTGTAGATGAAGGTCTGGTTCGTATATACATGCGGGGACGTCCTATTACCGTCTACGTTCCGTCAGACATAGAGAATTTCGACATCTCATCTAAAGTAGCTGCCCCAGCTGAAAAGTTGAAGATAGAATGGATGTATCCTTTAAACATTGGTGAAAATTGAAATAATTAGATTCCATCATGTCAGATATTGTCTTTAGTGTGGAAATGCAAGCCAATTTGAACAACAAAAAATGACACGCCCACAGAAAAATAAGCCAATAACAACACCTGGTATTAAAATGGCTCATTTCCATGCAATAATTACTCATTATGTAGTACTTCAGACACAGATGCAGGAATTAAAAAAAAAAAAAACTGTCCACCTTTGAGTAAAGTAGTGTGTTGAGGCCGGTTCACAATTTAAGATAAATAGAATGTGTACCTAGTACTACAATATAATTGGCTATTAGGACAGTTGAAGCAAGGGTGAGATAGGCCTAATGTATCCACACTCTTATATTATAAACCATATTTATAGAAGGTGACCCTTCCAGTATATCCTAGGTCAACTGATATTCAGGGGCCCTCTTAAATAAATGAAATAAAGTGATGCTTTTCAGCGAAGTGTGCCTATATGAGGCTTAGGGAGTGGAGTTTTACAGTAGTATTCACAAATTCTCTATTACATTATAATAATACACAAAGCAATAGCTTCTGATACACATATACTGATGTTCTGCTACTGAAATTGTCTACAAACTAGTCATCATTAGGTACTTATATATTCCGTTGGGGATACCACTAGGACGACATGGTTCAACTCCGGCTAATTTCAGGAATTTACTCAGGAAGCAAGTCTCTTCCTATCTCTCATGATTACTTTTCAGTGATTATAATTTCAGTCTGAACTGTTGACATTTAATTGGAGTTAAAAAGTCTCCCCCCACCCCTTCCCATTGCCATGCTGAGATGCAGATGCCTGATTAATGCCCATGTCAAAGTCGAACATGAACATAATTTAACTATTTATATGCTATGTTCAGCAATCCCTCAGCTTCAGTCCAGTCCAGACTATTTTATTTGACAAAAACAAGTGACATGTCCAAATATGGTCATGATGACATCACATCATGACCATATATAGGCATATCATGACTATATACAGTATGGGCATACAACAGTTTTTTGTTGAGGAAAATTAGAAATTTTCCTCATTGCTCTTCACAACTGCTACTGTCTGAGTCATACTATCTACAGTTGAACCTCCTTAGTATCAAGACCAACGTGAACAATTTAGAGTGTGCGCCCCATTTACTCTCAACGTACATGTGTTGTAAAGTAGTCGTAAACTCGCTATTTCACATCTAAATGGCATTTTATGATTTATATCTCACATTTTGATATTTTTTATATGATGTCTGTTAGAGTAATATGTTGACAAGAAATTACAATTTGAATATTCAAGAAGTATATTTGAATATTATTGAGATTTGTTTGAATAGTCATGATGTGTATTGTTCATGGCTAATTATGAGGGTATTATAGAGATTATTAAATTGAGCAATGCTGTAGTTGCTTAAAATCATATGCAAATTAGGTCTATAATTATGAATGTACTATAGCAACATTTTAAATGTATTCTTGAATAATCCAAACTTGTTATGCTTCTTATTTAGACCTGGTCACCTTCCAATTGAACAAATTCCTGGTATTTAGCATCTTTGGTCTCTAATTGAAAAAATTATTATCACAAAAATTAAAAGGATATTAATAAATGCTCATCCAGGGCCACAGAAAAGTGGTCTTTAATTGGAGGTGCTCTTACAATGTTGTTATCAATCTTAAATGTTTTTTCATCTTTTTCAATCGTTTTATAATATCTGGAATTCATCCATTGCCTTGCCATATATTTTTTATTGTCAATACAATTATGCAGTGTCTAAATTCTGTTTCTTCACAAATTACAGAATTATTTTAATAATAGCATTGACAACCAGTTGGTATAAGTGCAGTGGACTAGTGATTTTAAACTGCAAAAAATTCCTTAACCGTTTCTAGGTATGGTTACCGTGGGAGAGACTGTCGAAGCAATCTCCATCTATTACCAACTGGCGAGATTGTTTACTTTATGGCAGCGACCGTTGTGCTGTTTAACGTTGAAGAAGGCCTACAGAGACATTATATGGGTCACAATGATGACGTTAGATGGTGAGTGCACTGTAATTTTATATTTATTATTTTAGTGTATGAATATATAAACTACCATATTTTTTTTATTATATATACTTTATAAGTGATTTCAATGTTAATGGCTCTTTAAGTTATATTGTTATTGATTATTATGTATTTGATTTGTTTCCAGTATTGCTGTCCACCCTGACAAGGTCACCATAGCTACTGGACAAGTTGCTGGACATGACAAGACAGAAGGAAAGGTAAGTACCATTGTGTTTTAGCAGTGGCGGCACCATGGGGGTGTCAGGCTCCCTCTCTTCCTCAGTCATGCCTGGACATCTTGTCATCTGACGCCAATCCCTAATATTGTGGTTTAAAAGCACAAATTTTTTCGCCATCCTAAAATCAGAAAATTGTTTCCAATAAACATCACCAGGGATGTTAATATTCTGGGAGCCTGACCTAGGCTATAGAGGGCTCATTGGTTTGGCAAATTACAGTATAAGTACTCTTATGAAAAGTATAAATTGATGATCTCAAATGACCCAAATCAACATTTTATTGTGTACTCTTTCATGGGGAGGGAGGGGTCACAGAGAAGAGTATGTTTTGTCCTCTTGTGGAAATGATGAACATTATGGATGACCCCTGATAACTGATTTATGAATGAAAATGTTTTTTTAATCTTTAATATTTGCAAATTAAACAGGTATTTTCAGAGTACAAGTTTTTCTAAATGTGTACTTTGAATAAAGTTTTGAAAATAATACTTTGGCAATTTTGTCTTGTTTATAAAGCGTCGGAAAGTTAGGCCAGGTGCGGAGGTAAATTCTAGTAAATAAGCCACATTATTTGCATTTTTAGTCAGTGAAATATTCTTTATATTTTAGTGTTCTTTAAACCATTAACTTGTTTTAAATGTCGGTTTTTTTTTTTTAATATAAATGTTTTTTTGTCAAATATGCTGTCACTCTATATTGCTAGTATTTGTAATAGTGATTGTGCTTTTGACATGCCTATGTTTTGTGATTATTTTAAATGTACATGGAAAATTTGTTGGTATGGGAAAGTATTATATACTGTACAAATATTTATTCTCACCCATCTGATTTCCTTAGATCACCTTCCCTACACCCAGCACTCTTGAATTTGACTTTTTAGATGTGTCTATTAGTTTTAAGTAATTCTTCTCAGTTTTATAGTATGTTTTAAAATGATATAGGGATTTTTAGACTTTTATCCATTTACCATCCCTATTTTCAGTTTTCGAATACAAACTATGGAAACCAAAAGAAATTATAGTTTTTCAGTATTACATTAATATACATCAATAATTAATTAATGTGTATTCCTCCATTATATTAATTTTAGTAAATTGTGGTTTAGGGTAGAATTTATTTTGTGTTTGCAAGTGGTCTTTGGTCTAAGCCAACACAATGTATGTTTTTGTTGTAAAGAATTCATATTTGTAAATGTTGAGTTTATATGATGTTTATTTAATTTCTAGACAGTGATATGTTCATCATTATCATTATAAGTTGCCATAGCTACAAATGCCTGTACTTGGTTGTTTCTTTTGTGGATGTGTTTTTTCTCACTGATACAACTGTTTCTATCTAAGTTTACACTTTTCTATATAAACACTATGTTTGCGTTTCTTCACCTTGAAGTGCAAATGGGTAGCTCGTAGGAAGTGAATGCAGTTGGGTTGTGTTTAAATAGCAGCATGGGCAAGAATGCTCTGTTGGGAGCGGAGAAGTTTGCACATTGTGCATGATTGTTTATGTGTTTAATAACCAGTGGAGAAAAAATATCTAATGGAAATGGAAGGCACTAAAAAAGCTCAATAACATATGTAAAAAGGGAGAATTTATAACTTTTCCTAACTTAGCATTTTTAAGTTATGTCAAACATATGTGAAAGTTGTCCAAAATCCCAGCATGCATAATACAAAATATGTGATCCCTATGGAAATAATGGGGGGGGGGGGGCTGCAATTTTAGAGATGCCCCAATACATTTTTCCATGATCTGATCTGTTCGTGTTTTATTTTTTGTTTGTGTGTTGTTTTAAAGATTAGCATATTGAATAAATCAAATATAAAACAATTACATACAGTATTTAATTTTTCAAACCAGTATTTGTGCATGATAATACTTTTGTGTTTATAGCCTCATGTTCGTGTGTGGGACTCGGTGACTCTCAACACTCTCCATGTGATTGGTCTAGGCACTTTCGACCGTGCTGTCTGCTGTGTTGGATTTTCTAAATTTGTAAGTACCGTATCAACTCGTGTAAATTTTTTGGAGTCCTGTTGAAGCTCATTAGTTCAGCATTTGTATTGGTTATTTTAATTATGAATAAAAAAAAAAAAATGTTTTTTCTTTCCTTGAAAATATATGGAATCTCAGAAATATGACATAAATTAAGCAAATTCTAAGAAAAATAATTTTGTAGTAATTTTCTTATATTGTGATTATTTATTATGAATTTCAGATAATAATTAATATTAATAAATGTATTAGGTAAATTATAATAAGGATTAACTTACTCTTTTTAAAATTTACTGATTATGAATTTCAATGTCTTGATATTTTGTTATTTCTATAGTAGTACTGTAAATAATTAAAATAATAAATATTATGAAAATATTTAACAATTTGATATTACTTTTAATCTTGTATAAAATTTACTTATTATTTTAATATATTTATTTATTTTAATTATGAATAGTTACAGTATTATTGAATAGATAATGTATTACTTGCAGCATTCGATTCAGTGTTATGTATGATTGGTTTTGTCTTTTGCTGTTTAGAATTTTTTATACAGGTTTGTTGCATATATTTATGAATAGAGGCAGCATTCTTGATGGAACGCACCATTAGCTTTTCCTATGGGAAACCAATCCATTTTGATGTGTTAATAGAGATATGAAAGTGCTCAACTGTAGTAGCATATAAGTAGATAATGCTGAGGATAACTCTAAAATATGACTTAAAATTGTTGCAAATTTACTGGATTAAACAAGTTGATGCATATTTATTTAACTAAGTAATTAATATTCATTGAAATGAAATATGTTATTTACTTAGCATATTATGAATATCATAATAAATTATTATTTGGTTTTTGCAATATTATTATTGTACATATCCCAAGTATAGTGTGTTAATATATCTTTCAATATAAAATATCAAATTGAATAATTTTGGCTACAAATTACTGTTATGAACTTATACAATGATTTTTATAAAAACCATTATATTATTTATTCAAAATGTTAAATCTATGGTCTGCAAATGACAATCTGTGATGCATTTTCATAAATGTCTTTAACGCCACTCTTAACCCAATTACGCCGCCCTCTGTAGGACGGAGGTAACACATTGGTTGCGGTCGACGAGGCCAACGACCACTGCATGTCTGTTTGGGACTGGAGCCGCGAGAAGAAACTATGCGAGAGCAAGGTAACGGTCTGCGAAGCGCAGACGTGGTTAACACCGCGTCAGTGTTTCTTTTGTTTGTTGCATGCAGCTTTGATATGGAGTCTTTTGTTGTTCTTTTTTGCATTTTGCTTTATATCGTCAAGGACGAGGGCGTGTACCTCTTAGCGTTGGACGAATCCAACGATCATGTCATGTCCGTTTGGGACTTACAGAAAGAAAAGAAGATTGTTTCTACCAAGGCAAGTTCCATGAACCGTTTTTGGTTTAACGGTGGCTGTTGCACCCTTTTCATCGCCTTCACCCCAAAGAAAGATTAATCGTTTTCAGCAGATTCTCACCCTAACTCATTTCAATAACATTTTGCGAATGCACGCTAGAGGCTGCGTTTGGCCAACAGAGGGCTGTATTGCATTGCTTATCGAAGCATGTGGCAGAGTAGTATGGGCTTGAACTTATAACCATATGGTCATGAGTTCGAATCCAAGCCGAAAAAATACCTTGACAACGTTAAAACTAAATGTACTTTTGTCTCGTGCTCACTATTTTTTAGAAACATTTTCTCTTGCTTAGATTTGTTCATGTGTGTCTGTATACTAACACAGTAGAGTACACAATTCTTTGGTGTGCTTATTATTATGTGTGATTTATGTGTGTACTTGACCTAACAGTGTCTTGTATTAGTGTTCTTGCATATCACGTTAATGTTTTTGCATTTCAGATTAAGATTTAAAAAAAAAAATTCCTTGAGAATAATTTTCAGACTAGAATTGATTCTTGCTTTGACTATTTTAAATTCACCAAATAAAATTGCTATAGTTAATGTCATCCAAAAGCTAAAAAATGTCATTGGTTGTTAGAATTCTAACTAATAATAATAAAGTTGAAAGTGATTGGCTTAGCACATTATTTTCAGAATCTAATGTCAATTTGATTGGTTGATAAATTTCTAATGACTAAACTTTGATATGATTGGCTTAGCACACAATTTGCAGAATCTAACAGCAATCTTATTAGTTGTAAGACTTCTAACTAGTTTAACATTTATCTGATTTGACAAAAATTTAATTTGTTGGTGCTTTTTCTATGTTACCAAACTTGAAATCTTTAGAACAGTAATTTCATTGGCTTTATATTTCAAACAATATTTAATCTGAAAGTGATAGAAATAGCACATTATTTCAAAATCTCATTAATATTATTTGTAGATTTCAAACTATACTGAACTAAAAAAAAAAATATAGGCTTAGTACAAAATGTTAACATCTTCCATTGGCTGATATTTGATTTCTAACCAAACTAAAACTAAACATGAAAGTGACTTGCTTAGCACACAATTTTTATGAATATGTTAGTGATTCAATAGTTAGATTTATTCAAATTGCAAATTAACATAATTTTCAGTGCAGTTATTTGATTGGCTGTTAGGTTTCTTATAATATTACTAAACTTCAAAGTGATTGGCTTAGCACATAATCTAACAGTGAGCTTATTGGTTTGCTATATTTCTAACAAATTGAAATAATTATGTACTTTGCTTAGGACATGATTTTTAGTAATACTTATATTTTGTATAATTTTTTTTCTTATTTCATTATTACATAAAACTATCATGATTTTTAAATCATATTTTTGTCTTAATTTCATTATTAACATTCATCATATTCATTTTTATGTTTACATTATCTTATTTTGTTCTCACTTGAAATTTTCAGACAAAATCTTTTACATATATACATCT